AATGACCAGAGACTGCGGGACACAGTACAGGAGATGACCAGAGACTGCGGACACAGTACAGGAGATGACCAGAGACTGCGGACACAGTACAGGAGATGACCAGAGACTGCGGACACAGTACAGGAGATGACCAGAGACTGCGGACACAGTACAGGAGATGACCAGAGACTGCGGACACAGTACAGGAGATGACCAGAGACTGCAGACAGTGCAGTGCAGGAGATGACCAGAGACTGCAGACAGTGCAGGGAATGACCAGAGACTGCGGACACAGTACAGGAGATGACTAGAGACTGCGGACACAGTACAGGAGATGACTAGAGACTGCGGACACAGTGCAGGGGATGACCAGAGACTGCGGACACAGTGCAGGGGATGACCAGAGACTGCGGACACAGTACAGGGGATGACCAGAGACTGCAGGACAGTGCAGGGAATGACCAGAGACTGCAGACATTGCAGGGAATGACAGAGACTGCAGACATTGCAGGGAATGACCAGAGACTGCAGACAGTGCAGGGAATGACCAGAAACTGCAGACAGTGCAGGGAATGACCAGAGACTGCAGACAGTGCAGGGAATGACCAGAGACTGCTGACCTTTGGGGAGGGAGGGGGAGCGGGTACCTGAATTTGACAGTTGTCCCACTCCTTGTCCTTCCTTCCTTCTTCCCGGCCGGCTTCTGTGACAGCCGTTGCCCACTGCGCATGCGCGAGAAGCGCTGCGCTTTGTGAATGGCCCGGCGCCTTCTGGGACCTGTCATGTGTCCCAGAAGACACCGGATCATTCACAAAGCGCAGCACATGCGCAGTGGGCACCCGGCTGTCACAGAAACCAGCGCGGGAAGACTGTGCAGCGCTGGAGCGAGGAACAGGTAAGGCCCTGCAGGAGAGAACAGCTGAGCGGCCGGCCCGGTATTCTGACATGGTGGCGGCAGAAATACCGGACTGGCTGCTTTATATTCGCTCCATAAGACGCACTGACATTTTCCCCCCTTTTTTGGGGGGAAAAAAGTGCGTCTTATGGAGCGAAAAATATGGTACATCACACAAGTATGGCCCACTGTTGTCATTATCAGGGAACCCACCATGAGAAACACCATGCAGGCATCTTTGGAGTGCATGGATATACAGTTGCAAGAAAAAGTATGTGAACCCCTTGGGATTACATGGAGTTTTGCATGAATTGGGCATAAAATGTGCTCTGAACGTCATCTAAGTCACAACAATAGAAGAACACAGTCTGCTGAACATAATACTACACAAGCATTAGATGTTGCCATGGTTTAATTGCACATAACATGTAAACATTCACAGTGCAGGGAGGAAAAAGTATGTGAACCTTTGGACTTAATAACTGGTTGACCCTCCTTTGGCAGCAATAACCTCAACCAAACGTTTCCTGTAGTTGCAGATCAGACCTGCACAACGATCTGGAGTAATTTTGGACCACTCCTCTTCACAAAACTGTTTCAGTGTAGCAATATTCTTGGGATGTCTGGTGTGAATCGCTCTCTTAAGGTCATCCCACAGCATTTCAATCGGGTTGAGGTCAGGACTCTGACTGGGCCACTCCAGAAGGCGTATTCTGTGCTGTTGCAGCCATTGTTTTGTTGAATTACTTGTATGCTTTGGGTCATTGTCCTGTTGCATCACCCATCCTCTGCGGAGCTTCAGTTGGCGGACAGATGGTCGTACGTTTTCCTGCAAAATGTCTTGATAAACTCTGGAATTCATTTTCCCATCAATGACAACAATCCGTCCAGGCCTTGAGGCAGCAAAGCAGCCCCAAACCATGATGCTCCCTCCGCCATGTTTTACAGTGGGGATGAGGTTTTGATGTTGGTGTGCTGTGCCTTTTTTTCTCCACACATAGTGTTGTGTGTTCTTCCCAAACAACTCAATCTTGGTTTCATCTGTCCGCAGTATATTTTGCCAGTATTGCTGTGGAACATCCAGGTGCTCTTTTGCAAACCTCAAACGTGCTGCAATATTGTTTTTGGACAGCAATGGCTTCCTCCGTGGTGTCCTCCCATGTACTCCATTCTTGTTTAATGTTTTCCTTATTGTAGATGTGTCAACAAAAATGTTAGCATGTGCCAGAGATTTCTGTAAATCTTTAGCTGACACTCTGGGATTCTTCTTTACCTCATGCAGCATTCTGCGCTGTGCTCTTGCAGTCATTTTTACAGGACGACCACGCCTAGGGAGAGTAGCAACAGTGCTAAACTTTCTCCATTTGTAGACAGTCTGTCTTACCGTGGACACATGAACATCAAGGCTTTTGGAGATACTTTTATAACCCTTTCCAGCTTCATGCAAGTCAACAATTCTTGATCGTAGGTCTTCTGAGAGCTCTTTTCTGCGAGGCATGGTTCACATCAGACAGTGCTTCTTGAAACCAGTAAACCCAAAACAGGTGTGTGTTTTTTTAAGGGCAGGACAGCTGTCAGCAACACATCCAATATCATCACACTGATTGGAGTCAAGGTTGGCTCACTCCTGGCTCCAATTAGCTCTGGGAGAAGTCATTAAGCTAGGGCCTCACATACTTTTTCCTCCCTGCACTGTGAATGTTTACATGTTATGTGCAATTAAACCATGGCAACATCTAATATTTGTGTAGTATTATGTTCAGCAGACTGTGTTCTTCTATTGTTGTGACTTAGATGACGTTCAGAGCACATTTTATGCCCAATTCATGCAAAACTCCACGTAATCCCAAGGGGTTCACATACTTTTTCTTGGAACTGTAGACAGGAAGTGGCTGCAAATAGCCTCAGGAGATCAGCAGCACTGAAATATAACAAAGGACAAAACATTTGCAAAACAAGCATATTTTAAAAAATGGCAATTGTTTTCTAGGGCTTTACAAAACTGAAAACTTTCAGCTAGGGTTTCTGTTTACTTTAAAGCGGTATTAAAGCAGTAATAAACCCAAAAACAAAATTGTAATATATTGCAGCTTACCAATCATTAGATTTGGTGGCTGCATTGGTTTTATTTTTATAGGCTTTTTTTCCTCCTCTATTTTCACCTGGTGATCTTGCCAGTAACACACCTCTCACATTAGAGTGCCTTTGAATGCACAAGAGCATCTTTGGACAAAAGCATTCTTAATCTGGGGAGAGGGGAGTGTTAGATGTGCTAGCAGATTTGGATACACTAACAAATTGAAGATGAACTCCAGCTAACACTATAATTAGTTACAGCAAACATTTATTTTTTTCTTTAAGATAAATGTTTTACATGAATAATTCAAGGCTGATTATTGTAAGCACAGTAGTAAATGGCTTGTCTCAACCCTTTAACTACTACATCTGAAGAGCAACTTGTTCCATTGAAAAACAAACTCACCTACTGGCCAGATCACCAGATGACAATAAAGGAAAATAGCCATCACATCTAAGAATTGATAAGCTGCAATATAATAAATGTTTGCTTTTGGGTTTGACACTGCTTTAGACACAGCAGAAAACATCAGTGGCAGTAAGGCTAGGTTCACACTGCTACTTTGAAATTGGTTTTGCATATTCTGCGGCACCAGAATTGTGCTGGAATCGCACCAAAATAGTACAGGAATATTTTTCAAAACTGTGCTGTGCTGAGTTACATTGAATGAAAATGAGCACCATTGTAAACAATGTAATTTTAATTATTCTTTTTTTCCCAGAAAGAAAATCTGTATGATAGAAATATAAATGGCATTGTTTCAGTCAGTGGAAATGTACAGTTGTGTCCAAAATTATTCAACCCCCCACTGAAATTGAGTGTTTTGGCCAGTTTGACATTGCTTTGATCATTCAGTCATCTTGCTTACATTGAGGCACTTGTAGGTCAGACAAATATATAACATAACAGTTATAATGAAATAACCACAAATGTCTTTTCTGTGCTCACAGCTTATAATTAGATTCAACCCCAAGTGACATTCAATCTTAGTACTTTAGTACAGCATCCTTTTACAGTTTATAAACAGCTTTTAAAACGAAGCATATACACAAGTGTCTTGCAGCGATCTAAGGGCTTATCTTCGAATGGGCAAAGGCCTCCAGTTCAGTCAGGCTGCGCACTATTGTTTCTTTAAGTCCCACACCAGAGGTAATCGTAAACTGCTCCCAAAAAATGTTCCAGTTTCTCTGCAACCCTTAGTGGACTTGGACACTTGGGGATCATTGTCTGGTGTGTTGATCTGAAGCCAGAGCATCACTTTTCCATCCAATATCTCCTGGTACTGAAGAGAACATGGTACCTCACACGCTACTGGCCAGATCAAAACAGCCCAAAGCATGATTGACAATCACAGTAGGCAAGGATCATAGGCCATCACATCTAAGAATTGGGCCCATAGTTCTAGCATCAGTCCAATATAAACTATAAATGTTTGCTTTTGGGTTTGTCGACTCTTCTTATTGCTTTAGACACAGCGGAGGCCTTCATTACGCAGAAAACATCAGTGGCAGTAAGGCAGTAGGTTCTCTCCACTCTACGCTTCAGGTAGCACAGCTATCTTCTTGGTGCTGCACGAAGGTAGCGTTTCAACAGTGCCCTCTGCAGGCAATTTGCGAATGATGCTTCCTAAGAATTGTGCAATCTTGGAATCGCCCTTCCTGTGAAATAGTAAATCACCTTTGACTTCTCTTGTCTTCCTGGACCATTCTCTTGCCTTCACCATGTTGTGTAAACCACACAAGTGTGCTAGAAGTTACATTGAATGATGCAAATGATTGCTGCTCGGTGACATGTTTTCAATGTAAAAAGCACCTGTATGTAATTTTCTTCAGAGTTATTCTTTTTTTCCCAGAAAAACCACATAACTACTGTATTACATAAACAATGTATTTTATTATAGTTACAACGTCCTTGTAGGATTATTCTGAATACAATTCCAAATGTACACTATAGTCCCTAAACCCCTTTACAGCATTGGGGGTTTCAGTCAGTGGAAAACTGTAGGCTCTTGTTAACCATGTTGACTCTATTTTTCTGAATTCTTGACAGGTGTCAAACAGAGCAGAATGGTTAGGATCGGGATTACTTTATCAGGGATGCAAGGCTTCAACAGATCAGTTCATTGGGGTTTTTGCCCAGAACCGCCCAGAGGTATTATAAAGTATGGTGCATATCTGTATATTATGAAAATGTCATAGTGTGGCCTGGAACAGAGAGATATGTTTGTCTCTGCAGTGGATCATCTCTGAACTCGCCTGCTACACATACTCCATGGTGGTTGTTCCATTGTACGACACTCTGGGTCATGGCGCAATTCGTTATATTATTAACATGGGTAAGTATATACAACATGTATACATATCCAGTATATTACATCTGATAATAAAATAACTAAAGTTGTGTATCACTTCTAAAGTCATTATTGGGCAGCATAAATCAGCTATTTCTGATGAATCCAGATTATGAAGCTTTATCTTTTTGCTATTTATAAATACACATATTCTTTTTATGGTGGATCTACTGGACACAGAGTAAGCCACCTTACAGCTAATTCTGAATTGCCTACCAGTAAAAAAGTGGTTTTGAGCTACGTGTTCTCGCTCTTCACTGGTTTATTTTGGAATAATCCAGAAATAGATCTTCTCTGAGTGGAAGGTTGAAATTAAAAGCTGCAAAGATAAAAACTGGAGAGCAAGACACATCATAGAAATTAGGGGGGAGGTATGTCATGATTTTCCCCTTGCAGTGTTGTAAGGAATAAACTATGTAAGGATCACTATTTGCCTCTTCCTTCTATATATTCAGTAAAGGAATGCAAAGAAGAGTAGCAATGCACAAAATGTAGTAACCCAGAGAATTCAAATATGAATTTAGGGCCTATTCATACAGCATAGTAATGCATGTTATGCACATTGCTGCAATGCAGTGCTATTCATTTTAAATGGCACCCCAACACTTCTGCATTGCACAGTAACACTACTGTGTGTTGTGATGCAGTGTGTTGCATATAATGATGCTTGTACTTTTTGTTCATTCTGTTCCTATCTGGCAAGGAGGGAACCTGATCTTTTTCTGCTGCAGTTTAATTTTTACTTAAAGGTCTCCGATCCAGTCCCCCACCGTTACATTAGACACAAGCCCTTCTAGTTCAACCTATAGAAAAAGAAAAAAAAGAATACATTAATAGAAAACCTCCATATACAAAATCCTACACCCAGTGAAAGGCAAAAATATACCCTATAAGGCATGGTCCAACTTTCTCCATTGGGGGATAAAATAAATTCCTTCCTGATTTCCCCCAGAAGGCAACCAGATATACCCTGGATCAACTACCTCTAATGACCTATGATCTATAAATATTAGTATCCAGGTATATTTTGTGCATTTAGACCTGGTTTACACTAGTGTAGTGCAGGAAACACAGAGAATCTTGTGCTTTTCACTCTGCATTGCATTCGAAATGGTGTCCATGCGATCTAGTGAGTTGTCAATGTTAAATTAGCGACCCCCCGAAACAGATTGCAAAACGCAGTGTGATTGCCAGAATTTCCAACGCATAGGTGTGAACCAGGTGCATGGAAAAAAAGGCTCATGCACCTTTTTGGTGCAAATGCGATACAATTTGAGCCATACAAATTTATCTTGAGTACTGTTATAGTTGTAGATGTTATAGAAAGTGCTTCTTGGACAGAAATGTACAGAAAGTGCAAAAATCCCATATTTGCCTTTATGTTTTTTGCATTTTCAATCTAAACAGCCATCACAAATGCTCAACGTTTGCTTTCTGATCAAAAAAAAATAAAAATTCAGAGTTGGCTAACTGTACATATTTTTTTCATTTTTTAAAGATGTAGAATATTCAACATCTAACCAAATATTTTTTGGTAGCTGATATTTCCACAGTAATATGTGACAAACCAGAAAAGGCCAGGCTTCTCTTAGAACACGTTGAAAAAGGAGAGACCCCAGGACTGAAGTCTGTGGTTCTCATGGACCCTGTAGATCCGGAGTTAATAGAGAGAGGCAGAAAATGCTCTGTATACATTCAGACCATGCGTGAACTGGAGGTAAAATGGCTGTAAATCTTTTTCCTGTATTCTAATGCTGTACTAGAACAAAAGTATCTCTGTTTTATCTTATTGTTTTTTTCAAGCTTTTTTTTTTTTAACTGTCTAGTACTGCTATGTTTTTTTTTTTTTGCATTTTACAAGTTCTTCTTTCCTGCTTTTTAGTGTCACATTTTAGTAAAATAGAATTGTTCTTTCTTAAAGAGCTATATGTTTCTATGCAGTCTGTAAATTTTGTCAGTTATCTCCAGTGAGTAGAGAATGGAGAAAAGTTTGAAAAAAGCTCAGCATGGTACACTTTTTCCTGATGCTTCCCTGTTGTTCATGTCATGAGGGGCTTTTGTGTGCAGCTGAACCATTCAGGCATAGAGAAGAACAGTTCCATATGCAGTATAACTCTGGGATGATGCTCTGCATCTGTCTCCAAAGTCTCCTATGTGTTTGTGCACTGACATGATAGAGAAGAGAAGGGGGGGAGGCCATAAACATGTGAACAAGTCTTGCTCCCACACTGTGCAGATTGTGACATGCAGGCTCTAATATGAAACAGTGCTCTGTAACATTTCTGCCTCTTATGTCTAATCCTTATATACACTATATTGCCAAAAGAATTGGGACACCCCTCCAAATTATTGGATTCATGTATTCCAGTCACCTCCATGGCCACAGGTGTATAAAATCAAGCATCAAGGCATGCAGACTGCTTCTACAAACATTTGTGAAAGAATGGGTCACTCTCAGGAGATCAGTGCATTCAATTGTGGTACCGTGATAGTGCCACCTGTGCAATAAGTCCATTTGTGAAATTTCCTTGCAACATTCCACGGTCAACTGTTAGTGAAATTATAACAAAGTTGAAGCAACTGGGAACAACAGCAACTCAGCCACGAAGTGGTAGGCCATGTAAAATGACAGAGCAGGGTCAGCGCATGCTGAGGCGCACAGTACGCAGAAGTTGCCAACTGTCTGCAGAGTCAATAGCTAAAGATCTCTAAACCTTGTGTGGCCTTCAGATTAGCACAACAACAGTGCAAAAACAGCTTCATAGAATGGGTTTCCATGGCCGAGCAGCTGCATCCAAGCCTTACATTACATAAGTGCAATGCAAAGTGTCGGATGCAGTGGTTTAAAGCACCACTGGACTCTAGAGCAGTGGAGATGTGTTCTCTGGCAATCTGATGGATGTGTCTGGGTTTAGCGGCCGCCAGGAGAACAGTACTTACCTGACTGCATTGTGCCAAGTGTAAAATTTGGTGGAGGGGGGATTATGGTGTGGAGTTGATTTTCAGGGGTTGGGCTTGGCCCCTTAGTTCCAGTGAAGGGAATTCTTAAGGCGTCAGCATACCAAGACATTTTTGGTTAATTTCATTCTCCCAACTTTGTGGGAACAGTTTGGGGATGGCCCATTCCTGTTCCAACATGACTGCGCACCAGTGTACAAAGCAAGGTCCATAAAGACATGAATGAGCACGTTTTGGGTGGAGGAACTTGACTGGCCTGCACAGAGTCCTGAACTCAAGACGACAGAACACCTTTGGGATGAATTAGAGCGGAGACTGTGAGCCAGGCCTTCTCATCCGACATCAGTGCCTAACCTCACAAATGCACTTCTGGAAAAATGGTCAAACATTCCCATAGACACTCCTAAACCTTGTGGACAGCCTTCCCAGAAGAGTTAAAGCTGGTATAGCTGTAAAGGGTGGGCCAAGTCAACACTGAACCTTATGGACTAAGACTGGGATGCTATTAAAGTTCATGTGTATGTAAAGGCAGGCATTCCCAATACTTTTGGCAATATAGTGTATGTCTACATGCAAATACATTTGTTAAAGTTTGGGTTGTGACCTAAAAGGCAAATGCTGCCCTCTGTTTTGTGTTTTATCTAACGTGCTATTGTTTCAATCAAAAATAACAATTGTTTGCACATGTATTTAAAAGGTATTTGTGTCTTTGTATAAAATGTAAGTGGTGGTTTGTGAGGCAGCTGATTGTCAGCCAGCTGTGTAAACTCTTAGGAGTTGCAGGATGATAAAGCTCTTGCTCTTAAAGTTTAAAGCAGCCCCACCATGGGTGGAAGGAAAGAAAATTGCTCAATTCCTCCATCAACACAGTCAGTGTTGATGGGGGGGAATCCCTCCCGTAGCACTATTGTGTTCTGCTGGCGGGGTGCCTTCCTTTTCGGCAGGACACAATGATCGCAACCGGCAGTGATCGCATGAAAAAAAATCCAACAGGCTGGTTGTACTAATGTCAATGAATGGATCAACTTCCGTACAACCAGCCTGCCCGTAAATGGATCAAATATAGGCCAGTCCCTGTTGAGCAGAAAAGAAATCCATCTATGGCCAGTTTAAGTGTCTGGCAGTACAACGTATTAAATCCACATTTTATTACCCAGGCAACCGAGGCCTTTTGGATATTGTGGGAACCCATAGCCTCGGGTGAGATCAATGGCCTTCCTTTAAAAGGCACATGCACAAAATCCCAGTTGGGGAATGGCTATTGCCATACATGAGATGCACCTAAATAGAAGCTAACACAGCTTTCCCCCATGTGACTAGGCAGATGTGGGAAAATGCTGCTACGCAATTGCTAAAAAATAACCTGCAAGGTGGCAGCCAAATGAGAGAAGCTGGCATCACTTAAACAAGGTAGAAGTGCCAAGGGGAGAGAAGAGAGAAGCATCATCAATGGGAAGAATAGCAGCCTGCCATGGGTGCACCTATGTTTGAAATGTTTATATAAAAACCAAAGGTTTTAAATGAATTGTAAAAAATGATTAAGAAATTAGTTTCAACATGTAAAAATCAAAGAGAAATATTATTGACCAATTAAAGATTTAACTGTTAAACAGCAGCTAGTCATCTAGTTGGAATTATCAGTAATATTGTAACAGTTGTGGATGTTAGGGAAGTGCTCTTCTAGCATTCCCATTTTTCATTTGGCCAGACAATATCCTTGTCTTCACCAGAGAAAAACACTTAGTAAAAGCTGTGTTCATTCTGCAGATTTAATATAAACAAGTTCTCCTTTTTCTTTTTTTTTTTTTTTAGGAATGTGGGAAGCAAAACAGAAGAACTCCATTTGTGAGTGAAGAGTTCCCCATTTTATTCATATAGTGCACAAAATACAATATGCTTGATTTTGTATTACACACAAACAAATTATCATAAGGACGTTGTACTGTTTCTTGACATTTCAGAAGGCTTTTCTAGTTCTGGGTAGAATGGGGAAGGATTAGAACTTCTAGTTTGTTTTTTTATTGCTTAGATTGTGGTAGGGAAGGAGGAGTGTCTGCTAAGCATGTTCATGTTAGTGCTTTAATGGCTTATGTGGGGCTGTAGGCAGCTATCTGATCCTAAGGAGACTGCAAAGCTGTCTGTAGTGAACTGGTAAACTAGAAAGAAGCAGTGGGGGGGGGGGGGGGCAGTGGCACTCCATTCGTATGTACGGGACTGTAGTTTTATTTATATTCAGTAATACCATCCAATGTATTTCAGTTCTGGCAACAGGCATGTTTTTATTATTCAAAGACAACATTTCATTCCAGACTTTAACCTCTTGGCACTCAACATGGGGCCCCTGGGCTGCATGCAGCCTGTTGGATCTCTGTGTGTGGCCCAGCATGTCCTGGGCTGGGTCCACCACCTGTTGGGCACTTTATAGAGCAGCAGTGGGGTGCCAGGTGCTGGAATACCCTTTGAGTGGAGTTTTCTTAATGCAAAAACTGCCATGGACTACCGATAAGTGAGGAAATGGGAAAATGTTACATAATACTTCTACTGGCCACCAAAAGGAGTGGGGGGGGGGTGGAAGTTTAAATAATGCCGCCAGTAGACACCAATGTGGGGGTTTTAATAATGCTGCCAGTGAGAACCAATGCATGCGGTAGGGGGATTATAAAAGCATTGCCTCTGACCACCATTGTTGGAGAAGGGTTTAGTACTACTGCCATTCGTGCCAATGGGTGTTATCATTACAGTCATTGACTCAAGTGCTGGGAGTTTCTTGCAGCTGCACCCACTGACACTATTGCTAGGTGTTGCAATTACTTCCACTGACACCAATGATGTGGCTTATTTTACTTATAGCTTCTCTTTCATGTGCGCTGTGGTATTTTGTACAAAATGCAAAAGTTCTGAAATTTTGGGTGTCGAGCTGCATTACAGCCCATTAATTTTGCATTGGCTTCCTAACGCGAAGCAATGCACCTCAACACATGAATACACGCTGAAATTATGCAGCCCTCTGGAAAAGCCTGGGGCCACACTTTAGGTCTTCTATAGTTTTCTAGTTGACCACCACTGCTCTAATCCACTGTACTCTAGCCTTGATGAAGGGGAACCCTTGAAGCCCCAGAAACAAGACTGTTTATACTGAATATAAAAAAAACTACACTTGGACATATACCAGTGAAGTGGAGATTTCGTTCCACATCCTCTTCCTTTGCCATTTTTATTGTTGTGTGTGGCTCTATTAAGAAAGGAACTCCTATTTGATTCCTGTGCTGGTTGTCACCTTAACAGAAAATGTTAAAAAATAAAAAGATTTAGGGTTGTCACTGGAAGAGGAGCACAGGAAAGATTTCACATAAGGAGCAATTGATCTGGTGGTACATTTTGAAGGTGAGACCCACCCCCTTCTATTTTGGGAGAATTTCTGTAAATATAAGTATGTTTTACAGTGGGGACACTAGTTCTGGTGACTTTGGTGATAACCTGGGATTTCCTTTAACTTCCTGTTTTGGCTATGGGAAGTGAAGGGAAATCTCCCCAATGGGACACAAATGACAAAAAAAACTGGCTAGATATAACCCTCCCTTACTCTAAAAATCAAACTTTTCCTTAAAGTGTTACTAAACCCAAGACCCTACATTCAGTATATCTGGTCTATCACAGTACACAGAATATGGAAATACAATTATTTTAGTAAATATTAACTGCTAAATACCTTTTCTCATCAGCAGTTAGAACAGTCTTGTGACTTCAACAGAGCACTGGTTAAAGCTTGTAGGAGGAGTTTTCTTTCTGCTCTAGGAGGATGTGAAACTCCCTGACCCTCTGGCTGGACAGAGCTGATTGGCCCTGTGCTGATCACATGCACTCTCTGACGCAAACAAAAAAAAAAAACCTCTCTAGCAATACACACCAAACTGAGCATGTGTATGTGACTACAGATTCAGTCTGTATCAGCTGGTCATTTCAACAAGAGGAGGGGCAGAGAAGAAAATTTTTACACAATGCAGAGGATTAACCCTTTTGGTTCCACAGTAAGTATAACAAGCATGCTTTACTGCATATACAGACTGATTTTACTGTTGTGGGTTTAGTAGCACTTTAAGTTCTACTTTAAGAAATTATGTAATGCTACTTAAAACCGAACCACAGGTAGATAAAAAAAAAACAAATAGTAGAGAAGGAAACCTGCATAGTGTAGTAAGAAAAATTATAGACATTTAATAGAAAGTGTAAAGAATGCATTCACAAGGGTAAGTATTACAGATGGTGGACATTAGATAAGGGTGGATCCTGGTTCTGTGGCCACACGTCTGGGTTGTCTGCTGCTTATAATTCCGCAATGGTCTGGCGCTCTGCTACCATCGGATCATCCATGCTTTCAGCCAAGACACGGTTGTCTCCATTAGATGTTGTCGGCTCCTTTATCATGAAGGATATTTTGGCAGTATTCCATGATCTGTCCTGCTTACAGTGCCTTGAAAAAGTATTCATACCCCTTGAAATTTTCCACATTTTGTCATGTTACAACCAAAAACTTAAATTAATTTTATTGGGATTTTATGTGAGAGACCAACACAAAGTGGCACATAATTGTGAAGTGGAAGGAAAATAATAAATGGTTTTTTCATAATTTTTTACAAATAAATATCTGTGGTGTGCATTTATTTTCAGTCTCCCGAGTCAATACTTTGTAGAACCACCTTTCACTGCAATTACAGCTGCATGTCTTTTTGGGTATGTCTCTACCAGCTTTGCACATCTAGAATATCAAATGTTTGCCCATTCTTCTTTGTAAAATAGCTCAAGCTCTGTCAGGTTGGATGGAGAGTGTCTGTAAACATCAATGAACATGTGAACATCTGTATGTTTAGGGTCGTTGTCCTGCTGGAAGGTGAACCTCCACCCCAGTCTCAAGTCTTTTGCAGACTCTAACAGGTTTTTGCGTTTTTTTATCTAAAGAAATAGAATCCCGTGGTTGGAATCAACAGAATGAATGAGCAAAAATGTCACTCTCTAGATGTGCAAAGCTGGTAGAGACATCCCCAAAAAGACTTGCAGCTGTAATTGCAGCGAAAGCTGTTTCTACAAAGTATTGACTCAGGGGGGCTGAATACAAATGCACACCACACTTTTCAGATATTTATTTGCAAACAATGTTGAAAACCATTCATCAATTTCCTTCCACTTCACAATTATGTGCCACTTTGTGTTGGTCTCTCACATAAAATCCCAATAAAATACTTTTACGTTTTTGGTTGTAACATGACAAAATGTGGAAAATTTCAAGGGGTATGAATACTTTTTCAAGGCACTGTAAATTGAAATATATTGTTGTTTCTTGTTTCTGCTTTTTTTTTATGTGCTCTGTTTGTTTATTATGGGTCTGTTTACAATTTCAGAGATGTATGTTAAATCTTCCTGAGGAAGCAGGCTTTTGTCCTGCGATAATTGTTGGAGAAAACCCAAAAGAAACTTCATATGAGCTATATATACACCTGTTGTCCATATGTATTATTTATGGAATTCTTGGAGCGACTTACAATAAGCTTGGCGCTCTTTATAGTCACAATATGTAATGGTTAAATGTTTTTACTAATAGAGCGGTTTTGATGCTCAATCTTTGTACTACAACCATGGTTTTTTATTGATGTTTAATAAAGCGTTGACTTTTTACAATTTTTGTATGCAGTATTGCTGGTATGGTGCCTAAAAAGCCCCAGTAGTTTTACTCTGGTTAGGGTTTTTCCAATTTTTTCCTCATTATTATGGAGCTTCTCCGTCATTGCAAGTCACAGGCAGTGGGCAGGTTGGTGGCCAAGCTGTATTGCTTATCTGTGATAAAGTTAGATAGCCATCTGGCTATGCTGTCTTGCAGGAGTGCCTGTATCACAAAACTGTCTTAGCACAATTATAAATCCATTGGCAAAAATACCAGTTCATGTATATGTATTTTAGTTGTGTATATAGCTTTTTTGCATGGAGTTCCACTTTTAAATCTTCTGGCTATATGTTGAGCTGATTTAATAATATTTTTTATTATAATCCTTATTTTACAGCCTCCAAAACCTGAGGATTTGTCTATTGTATGTTTTACCAGTGGTACTACAGGTAAGTGACTACCAGTCAATGCATGGGTTTGCCTATTTTGTTTGATGCAATTATGATTTTTGTTTTAGTAACATTCACATATCTTCACTAACACTACAAATGTGAAAAAACATGAAGTTTATTTCCAAAAGTAAGGTTATCCTGTGGGTTGGTTATGCCTTGTATAGTAACTAAACTTTCCCAGAGTGCGAGCAATGCAAATACAGGGAAATATAGGGAAAGACAGGCAAACATATTTATAGATATGTACTTTTACTGCTTTTATCAGAGAAACTTTTTCTTGTGTTTGTAGGCAATCCTAAAGGCGCCATGCTGACTCACGGCAATGTGGTGGCAGACTTTTCGGGATTTCTAAAAGTTACAGAGGTGAATACTTCAGAGTGTGACGTAGGCAATATATTGGCAAGACTAAGCACAAGACTTACTTGCTGGTGTGCTGTCATTTGCAACATGCTAAAGGCATTTGGTTTTCAATGATCAGAGTTTGTACCTTTATGTTATGTGGGATTCATGTTGTAAACATAATACACATATTTGCAATATGCAATACTACTCTACAGAACTGCTGATTTACTAGTAGAATGTGTGTGTAGTTTTTTTCTTTTTTTTTTTTTTTTTAATACTTAAATCTTGACTTTTCTTCAGATATAGTTGCTGAAAGCATAGTGGTGACCTTAACATAGTGTTTAATGAGTTATATCTATTAAGTGCTTTACTAGATTGACTATAAACTCAATAAAAGTATCATTTCAACAGCAAAATAAAATTATATAGTGGTCAACCATTTTGAATATACATTTTTGGATGTGACTGAATGTCATGTCTGATGTATTATTAAAATGAGTTTACCAGATTGGTACCGACATCTTATTCTGTACCTACTGTTCTAATAGGTGCAAAGCGGAGATGTTTTATAGGCATCCCTTTGTTTTGCACAATTCATCGAAGACCTTGTACACTATGTAGAAATCAATGGAGAGTTTGTACTCTGTGCTCCGTGTCCAAACTACTTATGGTTCAATGGGGAGTGTGTGCAAACCATGTGAGGACCCAGGTGGAAAGATTTTGACAAACAGATGTGTGTGGCCAACGAGCTGAACAGCTGATGTCTGGATCAAGGTGAGTATAAGATTGAGATGGGGGCTTGGGGCCCTACAAAATATGTGTAATCACACTAAAGGTAAAGTTACAAATTAAGTAAAATGCCTTGATGTCAGAGTCAGAAAAAATAGTACCTGGCCCACTTTATTTCAAGGGACCTACTTGTTGTAGGTCACATCTAACCATATGCAATCAGACTGTAAGCCAGATATCAGATAAATGCACATACACATTCTGCACACTAGGTATGTTCAAATCTATTGTAAATGGTGGCACACTATTAGGAATGAATTCTGTGCTGGTAAGCTTTCAAAGAGTATCAGCTGGATTATAGTTTCAGAGCAGCTGTCAGTGAGAATCTGAAGAGTGGGAAAGTGGTCAATGGAGGATAAGACTGCATGTAAGTCAGTAATGTAATGATAGGATTTACTAATTCCCCTAATTCCCCCAACCCCAAACCCTGATGACTAGATGGGATCCAAGAGTTATGTCCTCCATGACCTGTTGCAGCCTAGGACATGAATACATTTTAGTGGTGTACAACAGACCTTGCTATTTCCTATTTCCCTTTAACAACTTAGCTAATTGATCCACCACTCCTACTGTGTGAAAGCCCTGGATAGCAGAAAGGCTTCTGATGTTATAAGTGTTTCTATCCATACAGAGCTTCATAATGTTATGAGCATCTCTGTTGACAAAGGTTTCTGTATCATTAAAGTTGAGGCCAGATTCCTGGGAGGACCCTAGTAAAGTAAAATGTAAGTGAGGTGAGACTGTGTGGGTGGTTGGATTCTGAACCATTCTGTGCGGGGAACAGTGAAGTTCAGTGGAAGCATTTACAACATTCAATGTACTCTTACTATAAATCAATCCCTTTAAAATAAAGTATAAAACACATAATAACTTATATAATAACTTAATATCTGAATGAAAATATTTATCTCAGTTTCAAAAAGTAAATGTCACTCGCCACCTCTAAGAACTGGGCGATTAAAGACCGCTAATCGCTCAGTTCTCTGTCTTCATTGAGCACAGAGTGGTGACTGTCAGTGTCCGACTCTCTACTCTGCCTCCTCAGCGCTCACTGGAGTGCACTGGTGGAGGGGGCAGGAGCGGCTGGCTCGGGCTCTCAGCAGTGTGCTGAAAGGCCAAGCCACCTTCTAGTCAGACATCAGGGTGGATCCCTTCAGAGTCTGGACTGGCTAAGTGATGTCAGCGGACAGCAGACTTTTGCCTGCCGTCGGCTGAATACGATTCACAGGAGTTCAGGACAAAGTGCACTCCTGTGACCCACAGAAGAAGTATCACCTAAAGATATTTGGCCCTACTGTTCTTTTAAAATGGAACCAACACAACCTAAAAAGGGCTACAAATCAGTGACAATCATGTGGATTGAAATTATCACAATTATTTATACAGTAAAGCAATCAAAAAAGTCTTTTATGGGTAGTACTTGTGGTGAATTGTATGGTTCACATAAAATGATTCATGCAGTATAGGTGACTGGTGTATTTTCTGGAGGGCAAGTCACCATCTCATACTACAAATGGATGTTTGTGTCATTATTCTTAGTTGTGGCATTTTTAAGCTACAGCTCCATAACATACGTTTACTGTATATAAACCCACTTAGCACTGCCCATCATAACATCTAAAGCTCAACTCTAGCCAAACTGTTTGTTTTTCTTGTCTATGTCTTATTATCTCAGTGTCACACTTCATTTAACTTTTGCTCCTGATGGCCCAGGAGGGCTACGAAATAGATACAATCCCAACAGAGGTTCTAAGTGTTCCTCTTCCAAAACAGAATGAAGCGTTTTGGCAGGCGTTGGGCTTTAACCATTGCCTCTTTACCTTTTTACCAATGTTATCCTTCTATACTATTCATTTCTAATTCTTTCATGAAACTGCTAACTGGAAGGTGATTGTCTTTATATGAGATCATGTCAAGTGAATGGAACGCTGGTCCCAAATAGTTTTATTTTTGGGGCTTGCACATTTTCTGGTGCAAAGTGCTACAAGCAACATGTTGAGCGTACACATATAATATTTTTATTGAAATTAGCCCAATCTAGCACAGTTGTTTTAGGAGCTAAAATCTTGAGACACACCAAATCTTTTAGCAGTATCCAGAATTACCAACAAGGGGGTTTATTTACTAAAGCCAAATGGACTGTGCGCTTTGCAAAGTACAGTTGCACTCTGCAAGTGCAGTTGCTCTAGAGCAGTGGTTCTCAACCTTCCTAATGCCGTGACCCTTTAATACAGTCCCTCATGTTGTGGTGACCCCAAGCCATAAAATTATTTACCCAGTAATTATAATTCATGAGTGTCGTTTTACCTCCAATACTGCTGCTTTCAACACAGTAGCTGCTTTTAACAGAGTAGCTGCTTTCAACACAGCAGCTGCTTTCTACACAGTAGCTGCTCTTTACACATCGGAAATTTGTGTTTTCTGATGGTCTTAGGGGACCCCTGTGAAAGGGTTGTTCGACCCCCAAAATGGTCACGACCCACAGGTTGAGAATCACTGCTCTAGAGCTTAGTAAATGAGGTAAAGTTTCACTTTGCAAAGAATAACCAATCACCTGCAAGGAAAACAAAACAGCATTTTTGCTTGTACATGATTGGATGATGGAATTCTGCAGAGCTTCTGCTCATTTACTAAGCTCTTTGCAAAGTGCACATTCTGTTTGCCTTTAGTAAATCAGCCCATGGTGTTCATGTCTAAATGTTGTCAATCTGTGGTAGCGATTTGTAATTTTTTTGCAATTTTTCTGATTAAAAAAATCTTAAAATATAGAAATTAACACTTTTTTCTGTTATTACCTTGTAAAACACAAGGTTTTAAGATAGCACTTAATAGTGTTTCAGGCTGTTGGCAGAAGAGTTCTGCAGTGCATACAGAAAAAGTAATGCGTTGACAATCACCAATGCTTTACAAAAATACTTGTGAAGATACCCTTGGTTCCACATCCTGAGTGATGAGGAATATTCTGTATCTGTCACGCATAGTGTAAAATCATTGCATACCATCTGATAATACAAGGCAGAGTTTTACAGATGTATACAGGATATTACAAAAAAGTAAAGAATTTTGTAAGATGCTAGGGAATTAATAATAAAAATGCTAATAGGCATGTATAGCATAGGAATTATACAGTGGATATAAAAAGTCTACACACCCCTGTTAAAATGTCAGGTTTCTGTGATGTAAAAAAATGAGACAAAGATAAATCATTTCAGGACTTTTTACACCTTTTAATGTGACCTATAAACGATACAACTCAATTGAAAAACAAACTGAAATCTTTTAGGTGGAGGGAAGTAAAAATAAAAAATTTAAATAATATGGTTGTATAAGTGTGCACACCCTAAACTAATACTTTGTTGAAGCACTTTTTGATTTACAACACTCATTCTTCTAGTCTTCTAGTCTATCAGCATGGCACATCTTGACTTGGCAATATTTGCCCACTCTTCCTTGCAAAAACACTCCAAATCTGTCATATTGCGAGAGCATCTCCTGTGCACAGCCCTCTGCAGATCAACCCATAGATTTTCGATTGGATTCAGGTCTGGGCTTTGGCTGGGCCATTCCAAAACTTTAAACTTCTTCTGGTGAAGTCATTCATTTGTTGATTTGGATGTATGCTTTGGGTTGTTGTCATGCTGAAAGATGAAGTTCCTTTTCATATTATCTTTCTAGCAGAAGCCTGAAGGTTTTGTGCCAATATTGACTGGTATTTGGAACTGTTCATAATTTCCTCTACCTCAGGGGTGTCCAAACTATGGCCCCCCAGGTGTTGAGGAACTGCAAGTCCCATGAGGCCTTGCAAGACTCTGACATCCACAGGCAAGACAACCAGAGGCAGAGGCATGATGGGACTTGTAGTACTTCAATAGCTGGAGGGCCATAGTTTGGACACCCCTGCTCTACCTTGACTAAAGCCCCAATTCCAGAATGGGGGGCTGCTGAACAAAAGCAGCCCCAAAGCATGATCCTGCCACCACCATGCTTCAATGTGGGTATGGTGTTCTTTTGGTGATGTGAAGTGTTGTTTTTGTGCCAAACATATCTTTTGGAATTATGGCCAAAAAGTTCAACCTTGGTTTCATCAGACCATAACACATGTTCCCACATGCTTTTGGGAGCCTTAAGCTGTGTTTTTCAAAATGTATCTGGGCTTGGATGTTTTTCTTTGTAAGAAAAGGCTTTCATCTTGCCACTCTACCCCATAGCCCAGACATATGAAGAATACGGGA